CCCCCCCCCCCCTCCCCCCGCTTCTCTCCTCCAGCACTACACCGCACACCAGCCTTCCGCCTGTCACCCGCCCCCCGACCTCCGCCCGTCCCATCCGCCCCCCCCCCCCCCCCCCCCCGGCCTCCCCCCCCCGGCCTGCCCCCCCCCGCCTCCTTCTCAGGCCCTCTAGGTGCCCCCCTCCCTGCGGCGGGCGGGCCCTCACCGCCTCCCCTACCCCGTCCGCCCAGCTCTACGAGAACTGGAACCCGGGGCAGCCCGACAGCTACTTCCTGTCTGGGGAGGACTGCGTGGTGGTGGTGCCGCACGACCGGGGACAATGGAGTGACGTGCCCTGCAACTACCACCTGTCCTACACCTGCAAGATGGGACTGGGTGAGACCGGCAAGGGGGAGGCGGGGGGCGCTGCCGCGGGTATGGAAGGAGGGGACGGGGCGCCTGGGTGGCTCAGCCCTTGAACATCCCACCTTAATTTTGGTTCAGGTCAAGATCTTACGGTTGGTGAGTTCTAGCCCGCAGGGGGCTCCAGGCTGAGGGGGGGGGTCTTTTCTTTCTGCCCCTCCCCTACACTAAATAAATAGATAAATAAATAAATAAAATTAAAAGGAGGGGGCAAAGCTACAGAGGAGTCAGAAACGTGTTCCAGGCCATGGGCAAGGGGAGATAACAAATGAGGTGGTCCACTAGGAACCTCTGCTCTTTTTTTTGCACCACCCTATGGCCCATCCCCTCCTCCTCCTCATGCCGATTCTGGGAACTGTCACCCACAGACCCGGGCTCCCCGTTGTTGACTGTGTCCCCCCTGCAGTGTCCTGTGGGCCTCCGCCAGAGATGCCCCTGGCTCAAGTGTTTGGCCGCCCACGACTGCGCTACGAAGTAGACTCCGTGCTTCGTTACCGGTGCCGCGAGGGGCTGACCCAGCGCAACCAGCCACTGATCCGCTGCCAGGAGAATGGTCGCTGGGAGCCCCCCCAGATCTCCTGTGTGCCCCGCAGGCCTGTGAGTGCCAGGAAGATGCGGGGGCGGGGGGCACTAGCCGACAGAAGCTCTGGGCTCTGGTCCCAGCTCTGCCAGTCCCTGGCTGTGTTACCTTGGAGTAACCACTGCCCGTCTCTGAGGCAGAGAAGGAGGTGGACTGGGTGCCCTGAGGTCCCTTTCAGTGCTGATGTCTGAGAACACTGGCTGAGCCAAGGCGAGTGTTTTAACCCAGGGCTCGAGGGGCGCAGGCTCCCAGGGTAGAGGGTGAGTGTGTGTCTTCCCAGGCCCGCGCGCCGCACCGGGTGAAGGCCCCAGGACATCAGGGGAGGCTACTGGGACGCTGGAACGCACTTCGGACCCCCCCTTCCAGTCCCTCTCCAGGTCCCTAGGGAGCAAGGCCTGCCGGCACTGCCCCCTCCCCGTCACCAGCCTCGGCAACTTGGGAGGCAGGGGCTGCCCTCCAGGCGGCAGTGCCTCAAGGGGTTTGCGGGAAGCACCTGGGCGGCTCAGCCTAGACTAGACCCTCTCCCCCACCCTGGCTCAGGTGGTCCCCCCAGGGCCTCAGCGGGAGGTCCCTGAGTGCCCCAGCTGCCCTCCCCTTGCCGGCCTTCCGCCCCCTCCATCCCCTCGGGGGGCACGTTGCCCACCGTCGGGTTTTCCAGGGGCCTGGGCTTGCAGGACGGAGCGTCTGTAAAACCAGCAGGAAATAAAGCTGCATTTGAGCACAAGCAAGTCTGACATTTCTGCGTGAGCGAGAGAAAAAGGAAAGTGGGGCGGGGGCCTCCCAGGACAAACAGCCCTCCTGTGTTTATTAACCTCTGGAGGTCAGAGAGGTCCCCCAGATGCCAGGGGCTAGAACAGTGCCTGACGCAGGAGAGCTGCCCGGCGGGTATTTACGGGACGAAGGAGCTCACAGGGATTGGGGGACAGTGTCAGCGTGTTTGGAAGGAGCTGGGGTGCTTAGGGCGCCGGGTCCAGCCGACCTAGGCGAGCTCAGTCTGGGGAGGGAGGGGGACTGAGGGCCGCAGAGGAAGCAGAGATGCGCTGCTTTGGTGTCCCGGTTCTGAGGTTCCCGGGGAAGGGGTCACTCGAGGGAGCGCAGATTTGGGGGTTAGAGTGTCGGAGGGGGCTTGCTTCCAGCAGAGGAAGCAGAGGGGCGGGAAGGAGGGAGCCGAGGAGGGGTCCCCGCCCCCGCGGCGGACTGGGCTCCGGGAGGGACCTGGTAGGTTTCCCAGGCCGTGCCCGGCAGAGGGCGCTGTGGACTCAGGCACGTGGGCCTGACGGTGCCGTGTGCGCGTGCGCGTGCGCGTGCCGGGCCCGGCGCAAGGAGTCGCTGGAGTCCCAGAGGACCGCCAGGGGGCGCCGCGACCGCCGGTTCGGCGCAGCCGGGCGCGGAAGCGGGTCGCGGGCTGCCGCGCGGAGGGTGGCTTCCGGCCGTGCGGCGCTGGCCCTGGGGCTGTGAGTCAGCGGAGGCTGCGATGGTGAGGTCACTCTCAGAACGGCGGCCGGGAGCGTGTGTCCAGAACGGGGCCTGCCCGATGGGGGTGACTCGTGCTGCCCGGCCCGGCGCTCACGCCGGTCACACGCGTGCACGCGGCAGGTGGGCGCACTTCTGCCTGCGCCCCTGTGAACCGCATTCGCCCACGCGGGCAGTTCTCACTCCCTTCCCTGCAAGTCGGGACAACCTGCTGAAACCGAGGCAGGGGCCGATCACAGGAGCAAGGGGCTGAGAGCCGCCTGGAGAGACCCGGGGGCAGCGAGGCAAGGCAGGACCGGTGCTTGCTGAGAGGAGCTGGGGGCTTCCCCCGCTCCGCCATGCTGCCCACCGGCATGGAGACCCCAAACCAGCTGTGGCTGGGAATCCAGCAGGACCCCCCAGACCCACCTACCACCGCTGTCCTCGCCCAGGGCTCACCTGCCCCCCCGCTGTCCTCCCCGCACAACCCAGCCTACCATGGCCGGGCAATGGGGCTGTTTCTCCAGGAGCCACAGGGAGGAAAATGATCCTGGGGCCAGAGTAGACCCCCGCTTTATTCTGTACTTCGATTGCCTGGTCAGTGCATTGTTCGGGATGTCAGACATTAGCTGGATTTGTGAGCTGATCAAAACCAGATGTCTTTGAAGGTAGGGCCTCGAGAGGAGAAAGAAGGCTGAAGGGGGCAGGGTCCTTGGGCTCCTCAGGGAGGTTCTGGGAAACATCTGCACAGCGATGGAGTTGGGAGGCCAGCTGGCTTCCCCAGGGGGCTCCTGGGGGTGTGCTGGAGGGGGCTTGGGTTTCCCAGCCCTGCCACTAACACTTCCTCACTGACGCTCCCCTGCAGCAGGGGGCTGGGGGCCGCCTTCTGATCTGTGCCCGTTCCAGGGGTTGACACGGAGCTGGACTGGAATCCTTCCCCCTCCCGGGCACCTGCCAGCGCTTCAGGGAGGCTGCCGGAAACGGAAGCCTTCTCCTGGCTTTGTTGGGCTTCCTGGAGAAGGGGGAGCCAGTCCAGGGATGACTCAGCACCCTGAATAGAGTCCAGTGCGGACCCGCGTGCGTGTGTGTGTGTGTGTGTGTGTGTGTAAGAGATGGCTGGGGAGGGGGCTTCGGCACCTCATCCAGGAAGAGCCGGAGCAGGGACGCCTGTGTCCACCCCTGCCTGCTTCCAGGACAGCACAGACCGTGTGTCCACCCCTGCTGAGCCCCTGGGCGTGCGCTCCAGCTCTCAGCCTCTTTCCTGTGTGTCCAACATGGGGTCAGCCTCGGGGTGTCCCGTTCTCTCGGGAGGAGGTCAGGGTGTATGGATAGGCGTAGAGAAGGGAGGTCCGGCCTTAGGTGCTTGGCCGTCGATGGCAGAGGGGCCTGAGGGCCCGGTGAGACAGGCCCGGTGATGCCCTCCGATGACCAAGATGACCAAGGTCCCCAGCACCCCCCCCCCCCGACTGCTCTGACCCTCACCCCACCTCCCCGCTCAGCCCCGACTCTGCACCTCCCCACCCCCAACGCCCACACACTGCCCTGACCTCACTGGGGCCTTTGTCCCAGGCCTGTAGGCCCGTCTCCTGCGCAGGGAGAGAAAGGGCCCCATTGTCTGGGCTGCCCAAAGACTTCCAAAAATGCTCAGCCCGTCAGACCCCTGGAGGAGGGAGGACTCCCCCTGGGGGCTGCGGCCAGATTCCTGCCCCAAATGAGGACCCGGGTTCCTTTGGTGCCCAGACTGCGGTCCCTGCTGAGATCTAGCTTCCGCTCCACCTGCTGCAAACCAGCCACTTCCTCCCAGGAAGGAAGGACAGAAAGATCCGGGGCCACGGGAGGAAGGGGCTGGGAAGGGGCTGGGAAGGGGAGGAAAGACAGGGGAGGGGGGAGGAGGAGGAGGGATGTGCGGGAACTCGCCCACGAAGGACTTGGACTCTAGCTAGTGGACGGAGTGGGTGGCTCTTGCAGCCTCTGTGTTTATTTCCTGATGTTTTTCCCCCTTAGTCTTTGTATAGCTTGTTAGCAGGGGCAGGGGGGCTGTTGACCACTTGGGACTGGGACTTTTAAGGGGAGCGGCCCGCAGCCCCTTGACCCGTGTTGGTGGACCCCAAGAGGCATGTTGGCACTCTTAGTTGCATTGGCAGGGGACATCTCTGTGCCTCAGTCTCCCCATCGAGGTGAGCTGCGGTTCTCTGTGACGTGTGGGTGACTAGAGAAAGAAGGATTCCAGGAGAAACCAGGGGATTCAGGAGAAGTGGGGGGGCAGGGAGGCGGGGAGAGCAAGTAGGGGAGAGGACAGAAGGGAGAGCAGGGGGAGGGCGAGGGAGGCTGACCAGGGCCAGGGCTGCTGGGGCGCCTCCCCGGCCCTGAAGCCCTCCAGCCTCCCTTCCCCGGCCCCCGGGACACTGGCTCATCAGCAGCTGAGCCCGCAGCTGCCGGGAGGGGCCTCCTCGACGGTGGCCCCCTGGCATCTGCCTCCATTTATTTCTGGAGCCACAGCTGAGTCATGGGGGTGGGCAGGGTGAATGGGGCCGGAGGAGGGGAGCTGGGGGCAGTGGGCAAGATGACTTCAGGGGACAGGAGGGCTCTGGGACCTGGGGTCCTGGGGTCCGGGCTGCCTCCCTGTTGTTAGGTTACAGGGGGGACCCTGGGGACGGTGTGGGGGAGCAGACAGGCGGATGTGGGAGGACATCGTGTTTCCCCTGCTTCCCGTGCAGACCCCACGGGCCCTCACCTCAGGCCCCCACTTCTGCCCCTCTCCCTGCCCCCGAGGTCAGCCGCCCGAGACTCCACTGCAGGCTCAGGAGCGGCACCTGGGGCCTTTCTTGGCGCACTCGCTGCGTTCACAACAAGCATCTCTCCCCAGCTTCGAAAACACCACTCAACCTTCTGTAGGGCACGTCCTGGAGCCTCCCTTGCAGGGTGGGAGAGGGCCGGGGGGGACCCAGGGGCCTGTCCCCAAGTCCAGAGTCCTCCTGGGTTCCTGGGTCGTGGGCGGGCCTGGTCCCCGTACCCTCCCCTGCCCACAGGCAGCCCAGAGGGCACATTCCAGCTGAAATTAAACCACATTCCTCCTTCCCCGGCTGCCAAGGATGGCATAGCAGACGGCAGCTGAGACACCACAGGGTCAAGTGGCAGCAGCAGCAGCTGGTCCCCACGGAGGGGCTGAGAGGGGGGCGGAGGGCGGCTTCAGGGCTGGGCCTGTGGAAGCGGTGAATGAAGCTGCGTGTTTGACCTCAGAGACCTGAGGAAGAGGGGCAGCCAGCAGCGGGAGGAATATGAGTGAGGCTGTGGGAGCCACAGCAAGTGCTGCACTGAGGGTAAACCCGGACCGGCTTCTCAGGGGACCCCGGACGGCCACCCCCAACACCCCTGCACTGGGCTCGCACAGCAGGCAGGAAGGCTGCGGGGCCCTTTAAGAGGCCCCATGTGAGCTCCCTGGGCCGGAGCCCAGAGCCCAGGCCTTTGATTTCCTCTGAGACCCCGGCGGGGTGGGCGGGCAGGCTGCGGGCAGCGGGGCCATGGCTGCGACAAGGACAGCATGGGGCTGGCTGAATGGAGAGCTCAGCCCCTGACCTCACCCTCTGGCGCCTCGGCCTGCACAGCCTTATAAGGAAGTGCCCCAAACAAACCGAGGAAGCCACCTCCGGCCCCCCACCCCGCCCCCACCCAGTTCAGAGGCTATATTTACCCAGCGGAGGCCGAGAATAACCTCCCACTTGTCCTCGCATTGGGAGGGGGGTGGGGGGGGTGCTGCCTGAATACTCCCTTCCCTGGGGACTCAGCCCTCCAAAGTGCTTCCTGATGTCTGACTCCATCACAGCCCTTAGTTTGTTCATCCATCCATCTGTCCGTCCATCCATCCGTCCGTCCATCTGTCCATCCATCCATCAGTCCGTCCATCCGTCCGTCTGTCCGTCCGTCTATCGTCCACCCATCCGTCCATCCTCTGTCCATCCATCCGTCCGTCTATCTCCAGGGCCCCCAGAGGCACCATGCTGCCCAAAGTGGGTGCTTTCCTAGAGCTCTGAGATGACAGGGTCCTCCTACAGCCGGGCCTGGCTGCTGGTCCTGCACAGGTGTGTCCTCTCTGCGGGGAGGTACCTGGGGACTCTGGTGACCTCTAGGCCAGCCACCCTCCAGCTCGTGTCTCCACCCTGGCCCCCTCTCCTGGAGGTCACCACTTCCTGCTGGGTTCTCCAGCTCAGAGATGGGACGGCCCTCCCCCACTGCCCAAGCCAGAAACGGGGGTGGGGGGGACTCTGCGGCCACACAGCCTCCAGCTCCCACACCAGGTCACCGGCTGCTGAGGTCCTGCTTCCCGTACGTACGCCCTGGTGGCCACGGCCACCGGCGCCCTGCCCGGACCGCTGCAGTGGCCTCCCAGGAGCACCCCTGCACACTCCTGTCCGTCCTTCAGCAGCATTTGAAAATGCAAACCGGCTCATGCCCAACTGATGAGTCCAAGCCCTCAGAGTCTCCCTGTTCCCAGGGGAAGACGCGTATCCGCCACCCCCCCCTCCGGCTGCCTGGTGAGGCCGGGGCCCAGTGACTCGACTCCAGTCCCCCTGTGAGCTTTTCTTCCCCATCATTCCCCACCTCCAGCCACACACACACACACACTCACACACGCCCAGACTCTGTCACCTGGCCCCAGGATTTCACACATGCCGTTCCCTCTAAGATCCTTTCCAACTTCCTCCTCCTCCCGCTCATCCCTCGGGCTCTTGGGACAGCCGTCCCCCCGCGCCTGTCCCCACACTCCCCCAGTCCAGGTCGGGTGAGGCCCCTCTCGGTGCTCCCACAGCCTCCTAATCATCTGTTTTCAATAGGACTTCCACCCAGAGCCCTCGGTCCATTGGAAGGGAGCAAGGAGCGCTGGGTGCCCAGCGCCCGCGTGGTGCTCAGATACTGATTGAAGAGTGACCCTCACAGCTGTTATCGCCACCGGGAGAGTCCCCGGTCCTGTCTAACTCTCATTCGCCTTGCTGCGTAGACACACTGCCATTTCCAAAGAGAACGCGCCCCCCACTACACACCCCCTTTATGAAGGTTCTCGCTTCTGTCTAGCTCACATCCTTCCCCCTCCCACCCCCAGTTAGGATCGTGGGGGTAGCTCTGTAGGGGACCAGGGATCTCAGTGACCGGGGGCAGGGAAGGACTGCTCGGCGTGGCCTCCGTGCTTGGCCCCCGCCCAGGCGGTGGTGCCCGAGGGCCGGGGGAAATCAAGCACAGGGCTCCTCTGTCCTACTCCAGGGAGTAGGCCTCACTGGCCTGGGTGCCTGGCGTGGTCAGGCAAGGCTGGTCAGCAGTGGGTACAGGAAGGAGAGCGCGGGCTTAGCCAGAAGGGTGGGGACACAGGATCCTGAACCCACAGGCGAAATGGGGGCCTGGGGGCCCGAGACAGACTCCAAAGCGGAGAAGGAGAAAGGCGTGTGCAGAGAAGCAGACAGAGCCCTTGTATCAGGGCGCCTCCTGTCCACCCCTCCTTGGCCGGAGGGACTGAGTGGGGGCCAGCGGGGCTGGGACTTCCACCTCTCACTGACCCCCCCCACCAGCCCTTCCTGGAGGTGGAACATCTGTGGGCAGCCCCGCCCCTACCCCGGACCCTGAGCCCGAGTGCTCTCTATCTCGCATCCGGACTCCAAGGCCCCGTCCAATCCAGGAACCCCTCGTCTCTCTCTGCCCCACACAGAGACCCAGAGAACTCCTGGGAAGAGAGATGGGGGTGGAGAGAAGCTGTGGCTGGTGGGGGGGACCCCAGGCCAAATGCCCGCTGGCAGGCCGACAGCGTTGCCCCCCAGCCCCCCCGCACCTGCCGGTTTACCCCCCCCTCCCCGCCTCACATCAGCATCACATCTTCACGAAACAACAGGTGCTGGCTCCACCCCCGGCCCCCTCCTGCCCTGCCCGCTCTACCCCTGCACCCCCCACCCCCGCCCAGTGCCCCCCACTGCATGGCTGAATTGGAGGCTCAGAGAGGTTAAACGATGACCAGAGGTCGCACAGCCAGACTGAGGCACAGCAGGCCCCCTGTCCCCTCCCGCTGCTCTGACCCAGCCACTCGGAGCAGACATCACGGGCCAGACGACTGTTTGGGTTTGGAGGCAAGGGGCTCATTATACTGGCGGCACTGAGGGGCCGGTGGGGATGGGGGGTGCACAAGGTGGGGTGGCCCTGGGCCTAATCCCTGTCATCAGTGCTGTGGGTAGAGATGATGATGGGCCTGGCTTCTGCCAGCCCTGGGGTCACCTGGACTGCCACCCAGCCATCCCCGGGCCCCATGAGGCCGTCCAGCTCCTCCTCGCCTCAGAGGGTGGCCAGTACCCAGATCCTGCTTCCTCCCCATCACCCGGGCCCCCTCTGCCCCCACTGAGGACCCCCCAAATTAGGGAAGGAGGAGTCCAGACTTTGTAGGTGGAAACATGACTTTATTCGGGCGGGGATGAGTCAGACATGACGCGGCGGGAACTCAGGGGCTCAGGACACGGAACACCCTCAGCCGGTGGCCAGACACCCCGAGAAGGTGTGATGGGGGCCCCTGTGGCGGAGATGCCACAGCCCCTCGCCTGGGAGGAGTCCCCCGCCACTGGCAGGCGGGGGAGAAGGGGGGCTGTAAGGAAAGGCGCTAGTCCTACGGGGGTTCAGCTGGTTAAGCCTTGGGGGGCAGTGGCAGCAGGAGGGGCCCCTCTGTGGGGTCACAGGGGTTCTGGGAAGGCACCCCCGTGCCACACCCCGCTGCACCCTGGCCAGCCAGGCCTCTGGGACAGAAACCACAGGTCAAGAGGTCGTAACTTAAGGGTGCTGCCTCTGGGCAGGGAGGGTGCTCAGGGACCCCACCCCCACCCCAGCAAGTCCCCAGAGAGGGAGGAGGGGCTCTCTCCCTAGTCCTCCCCAGAGGACCAGGACTCCAGGTCTCCTTCCCGCTGACCGAACTTCAGGAACTGGCCGGGGCCCAGGTGGAGAGGAGCTCCTGCCCAAGCGGTCTTCAGGGCACCCCCCTCCTCCTCGTCCTCCAAGGGGCTCCCTGGGTCCCCCTGGGGGCCCCCCGGTTTCCCCTGGCCTCCTCCCTCCGACTGCTCCAGCCCGTTTACCACCCCCCCATTCACATGCTCTAACTCCTCCTTCAAGCTGGGGACCTGGCCATTGACACCAAGGGTGCCCCCAACCTCCAGGCGGGTGCCTTCCACCCCCCCGCCGGTTTCCAGAGCCCCGGGGACTGGGTCCTCTCTGTCCAAGGGAACAGGGTCAGACTCTTCCTCTGAGCCCGAGGGCTCCGTGCTGTCCTGGGACTCCTCACCGGCATCAGCCCTGCCCCTCAGGCCATCACCCCAGGGGACGCTAACGTCCATGCTCTCAGCCCCCGGGAGGGTCCCCCTCTGAGGGCCGCCCTGAGCCCGGAGGGTGCTGACAGAGGGCCCCAGGCCCCACCGGCCAGCCCCGGGCTCCCTGCCCTCTTCTTCCATTTTGTCTTCCTCTCCCTCCTCCCCGCTCTCTTCCTCATCTGCAAACCCATCGGACTCCCCGTCCCCTTCCCAGGCCGCAGGCTTCAGCAGCTGCTGGGGCTCCTGGCCCTGAGGCTCCACAGCCTCCCCGGGGCCCCCAGGAAGGAGAGAACCCTCCGCCTCCAGATCCTCGAATTCCTCCGACAAGTCAGAGTCCTGACCACATTCCTCCTCCTCCTCCCCCTCCCCCTCCTCTTCCCCGGGCTGGGCCAGGACAGAAGGGTCCCAGCCTTCCTTTCTGGTCTCCCCTTGAGGGGAGAGCCTCTGCTCTCCAAGCAGGTCCCACTTTGGGGAGGCGGGGGACCTGAGATAGAGGCCCAGGGGAGTGGAGTCAGGCAGGGTCTCTCCGAGCTCATCGGCCTCGCTGTCTTCTCGGTTCTCCTCCCCCTCCTCCTGGGGATCCTCGGGGGCCCCCTCCGCCCCTCCCAGAGCCTCCCCTCTGCCCTCCCACCCCCAGCCGGCCTCGCGGCTCCACTCAGCCAGGGGCTGGGGTCCAGGGGCATCTCCAGGGGCATCTCCGGGGATCAGGGTGGGGAACCCGGGCTCTGTGGGCCTGGGGCTGGGGGGGTCCTGCACTAGTTCCGCACCTCCCCCTGCTTCCTCTGGCCCCAGGGGCCCATCCTTGCTCTCGGCAGGGAACCCCCCCTCTGCCCCCCAGGGGGCCTCAGGCTCTGAGTCCTCCCGGCCCCTGGGAGGCTCCTGGGGGTCTGTGCTCTTGCCGGGCAGGCTGGAAGCCTCCGGTTTCAGAGCAGCTGCCTCCTCTGGGTCCTTTGCGAGCCCTTTCAAGCCCTGCGTCCTCTCTGCCTCCAAACCTCCCTCACCCACGGGGGGCACCACCGCCTCCTGCCCTGGTCCCTGCTGGCTTCCCGCAGCAGCCACCCCCACAGCCGTGTCTAGCCCCTCGGGGCCCTCTGAGGCCTGGCTGCTGCTCAGGGCCTCCTCTCCACCTTCCAACGCCAGGTCTCTCCCCTCTGACACGCCCTGGGGGGCTGGGAGGCCCGGGGGCCCCGCTTGCTCTGGCCCTTGCCCTGCAGGGTCCAGGAAGCCCTCGGTGCCTCCCTCCCCTCCGGCCGCCTCAACTGGGAGCCTCTGCTCTTTGGGCTGAGGGCTCCCTGGGTGCCCCGCATCTGCGCTCCCTCCCTCCCCTGTGGCCAGCTGCCGCGCTCCAGGGCCCCCAGACTTCCCGGTGAAGTCACCCCACTCCCTCACGTCCAGCTTTGCCTCAGCCTCCTTGCCCGCTGCGGCCCCGCCAGGGGGCATCTCCTGATACGGCGTTTGGTCCCCCATCATCTCTTGCCTCCCCTGCTGGGGGGCAGACAGTGGCCATTCCTGCCCTTCCTCTTTCAAAGGCCCCGGGGATTCCTGATTCTCTGTCTGCTCCAGGGTCTCTTCCTCTGCCAGGTACCTTTGACTTTCCTGACCTTTCTCTTCTGGAGGTCTCGAGTTTTCTAGGTTCCACTCTCCCAGAGATCTCCAGGACTCCTGGCTCTCTTCCGTAGACTCCAGTGGTTCTTGACTTTCCTTTTCTAGAGGTTCCATTGTCTCCTGATGCTTTTCTTCCAGAGACCAGAGTGGCTCTTGAGTTTCTGGAGACTGCAGTATTCCCAAGTCTTCTCTTGCAGACTGTGCTGACTCTAAGTTCTCGGTTTCCAAAGATCGCATGGCCTCTGTGCTCCCTTCTAGAAATCTTAATAACTGTTGATTCTCTGTTTCAAGAGGTCTAAATATCTCTTGGTCTTTTCCAAGAGACATTAGTGGCTCTAGCTTCACTTTTTCTAGAGGCCTCAGTGTTGCCTGGTCTTCTTCTAGAGGCCGCACTGGCTCCTGGTTCTCTCTTTCTAGAGGTCTCAGTGTTTCCTGATCTTCTTCTAGAGGCCCCACTGGCTCCTGGTTCTCTCTTTCTAGAGGTCTCAATGTCTCCTGATCTTCTAGAGGCCCCACTGGCTCCTGGTTCTCTCTTTCTAGAGGTCTCAGTGTTTCCTGATCTTCTTCTAGAGGCCCCACTGGCTCCTGGTTCTCTCTTTCTAGAGGTCTCAGTGTCTCCTGATCTTCTTCTAGAGGCCCCACTGGCTCCTGGTTCTCTCTTTCTAGAGGTCTCAGTGTCTCCTGATCTTCTTCTAGAGGCCCCACTGGCTCCTGGTTCTCTCTTTCTAGAGGTCTCAGTGTCTCCTGATCTTCTTCTAGAGGCCCCACTGGCTCCTGGTTCTCTCTTTCTAGAGGTCTCAGTGTCTCCTGATCTTCTTCTAGAGGCCCCACTGGCTCCTGGTTCTCTCTTTCTAGAGGTCTCAGTGTCTCCTGATCTTCTTCTAGAGGCCCCACTGGCTCCTGGTTCTCTCTTTCTAGAGGTCTCAGTGTCTCCTGATCTTCTTCTAGAGGCCCCACTGGCTCCTGGTTCTCTCTTTCTAGAGGTCTCAGTGTCTCCTGATCTTCTTCTAGAGGCCCCACTGGCTCCTGGTTCTCTCTTTCTAGAGGTCTCAGTGTTTCCTGATCTTCTTCTAGAGGCCTCACTGGCTCCTGGTTTTCTCTTTCTAGAGGCCTCACTGGCTCCTGGTTCTCTCTTCCTAGAGGTCTCCAGTTCTCTTGATTCCCATATTCTAGAGACCTCAGCAGCTCTCGAGTCTCCTTTCCTAGAGACTGCAGCGACTGCGAGACCTCGTCTCCTCCGGGCTCCAGCAGTCCGAGCACCTCTTTCTCTAGAGGCCTCACCACGCCCACAGCCTCTCCCTCTAAAGACCTCAGTGGCTCTTGACTCTCCTTTCCTGGACTTCTTGATGCGTCTAAAGTCTCTTCTTCCAACAGCCTCAGATCCTCGGGACCCTCCTTCTCGAGAGGCCCTACTGGCTCCTGGGTCTGTTTTTCCAGGGACGTCAGTGGCCCTTGAATTTCCATTTCTGGGGACTTTAGAGTTCCTTTTTCCAAAGGAACCTGAGAGTCCTGGGTTTCTCCCAAGGTCAGACCCCCATCTTCTTGCCGTGTTGCCTGCTGCAGACCATTCACCATTTTCACCTCTACGGCTGCTTCTTTCTCTGCCAGCCCCCAAATTTGCCCTTCACCTTCCTCCTGGAATCTGCTGGACATTCCAGACCCACTGGGTTCTTCACCCTTGGCTTCTAAACTAGGGTGGTCGGGGCTGAGGGGTGGGGCCGAGGGGGACTGGCCTGTGCTGGCCCGCTGTTGCTCGCCCCCGGGCTCCTCCGGCCCCGGCAGCACGCCGGTGGGGATGACCACCTTGGCTTCAGCCCTCATGGCCTCCGGAGCCCGCTGCCTCCCCACCTGCGGCTGGAGCAGGGGGAGGGGGCCGTCCTGGGCTCTGATCTCTGCATCTGTAACGGCGCAGGGAGCCAGGAGTGTGGGCGGGATGGGGGTGCTGGCCAAGGTCGGGGTACGGGCCTGGAGGAACTGTTGGCTCTTCAGAAAGCCTGGCTCCGGTGTTTCTAGGGTGTCGGGCAAGGGCGAAGAGAGGGGGGTAGGGCTCAGGGCAGAGAGCAGAGGTCCCAGATGCCGGCCCTCTGGGGTCCCAGAGAAATGCAGCTCCAGCTTAGGGTCTGGAAAGGCAGAGGGCAGGAAACAGGGTCAGTAGGCACGGGCAGCGGCCACCACTTGCAGCAAGAGTGCTGTGAGCCCCGCCCCCACCTCCGCCGGGCGGGGTTGAGAGCACACTCGCTGCTGACGAGGCCCAAGAGTCACGACCCAGCTCTGGGGTATAAAGAGCACAGAAGGAGAGAGTTGGGGGGCAGGCGGCCCCTCCTCTTACCCTGGAAGCTGAGGGGAGCCTTGACACCACTGCCGGGGGTCTGCAGCCGGGAGTTCTCGGCCTCTAGGAGGGTCCTGGGGGCGAGCGAGGAAGAGGCGGGTCAGTCCTCTGCCCACAGGCAGGACTCGGCTAAGCTGGCAGCCCTGGCCCCTCAGGCTTCCTCTCCATTGTCCCCACCGTCACACAAAAGCCACACGCGGCGTTAAGCTTGGCTGTGCGCGTGAAACCACATGGACACGTTCCCGCAGATGTCACGTATGTGCTGCACACAGCACCACATGCCTATTTGGGACACAGAGCTAGATGCACAGACACAAGCAGACTCCCACACAGTGTACACACCCCCCCACCCCAGGCCAGTGATCTCATCCCCCCCTGTGGGGCCGATTCTCATGCTAATTGCTGCCTTTGTCCACAGTGCCTTCTGGAGGGTCTGAGTGGGGGGCTTCCTGGGGGAAATGGGAATGCTCAGGCTGTTCTCATGGGATAGGCTCCCTCCTTCTCCCCCAGGGCCCCCAAAGCTGCCCACAGACAAAAGCAAATGAATTCCGCTCTCTCTCTCTAAATCCTTTTCACGCCTCAAAAACCAGTGGCTAAGCCTGCCCAGACCCTTCCCCTCAGTGGTTTGATTGGGGGTCAAGGCCCTCATCCTGGGATCTCTGAGTCCTCTGGATCCCAAGCCTTTCAGAGCAATGGAGGTCTTTGTGCCCATGACCCTGCCTTGGTGCCCCACGGTGAATGAGGAGGAGGGGGCTGGCGGGGGAGGGGGAAGTTACACTGAACATCTACTCTCTACTCTTCTTCAAGGGCTCTGATTAGTGTCTGCCGCGGTCACACCTCTGTCCTGCTCTCTGAGCTCTGGGCTCGTCCGGGAAGGCACAGCACCCTCTCTCTCACCCCATCACCCTCCCTGGCCTTCCCCTCCCTGGGCCCCTGTATTCTGGGGGCACTGTCCTCACAACGTGTCTCGTCCTTGCCCCAACCCTGCGGCAAAGCCCCTTCCTCGGGCTCCGTCGCTGGGTCCTCAGCGGTCAGTGTGGAAGGGGCCCTGGATGTCACCCAGGCCATCTCCCATCTCCAGACGGAGACAGAGGCCCAGGCCATCAGGAGGCAAGTCAGTGCCCCCCCCACCCCCCGCCCTGCCTCGCCCCCTGCAATTCCTCCTTTCTGAGGCCGCCTGGGGACATCACTCCCTCCGCATGAGCGAGCATGGAGCATGAGCCACACAGATGGGCTGTTCAGCCCCTTGGGGGGAGGGTCGGCACGGCGCTGCCCCACACGTGGCTGGCGTGTCTCCTGAGGCTGTCCCACCCGGCAGCATCACGTCTCCGTGAGGGACTTCGTGGCACTGGATGCTTCTTTGGTCCTGAACCCACAGGGGGCCGGTGGGCTCGGGCGGGACAGCCCCTGGCACGGCAGGGATCAGTCTAGAGTCACGGAAGCTAGTGAGAGCACAGTCACCAGCCCCCATGGCCCTGAGCCCCTTGGGGGGGTGTCTCTGCCTCAGTGTTTGTGTGCGTGTGTGTGCGCGCACCTGTGTGCCGGGGGGGGGGGGGG